CCAGTGCCCCCTCCTCGGTGCCCCTCACGGCCATGGCGTCGCCCCCGGCGCCCCCAGCCAAGAAGCGGAAGATGAACTTCTCGGAACGGGAGGTGGAGATCATCGTGGAGGAGCTGGAGCGCGGCAAGCACCTCCTCATCAACCACTTCAACGCGGGCGTGCCCCTGGCCGCCAAGGCCGCCGCCTGGCACGACATCCTGCGCCGCGTCAACGCCGTCGCCACCTGCCACCGCGAGCTGCCCGAGGTCAAGAAGAAGTGGTCCGACCTCAAGACTGAGGTGCGACGAAAAGTGGCCCAAGTCCGTGCTGCCATGGAAGGGGGAGGCGAGAGCCAGAACAGCAACGGCAACGGGCCGGAGAGCGAAGACCCGACGGGTGCCGCGACCACCCCGGTTATCCTCACCCCCATGCAGCAACGCATCTGCAACCTGCTGGGAGAAGCCACCATCATCAGTTTGCCGAGTGGGGACTGCAGTGCAGGTGACGGGACTGAGATACCCATCACCGCATCAGCCACCACGGTCACCCTGACCCAGAGTGAGTCCTGCGCCTGCTGAAGATGCTCTGTGCTGAACTGGAAGGTCATATGGGGGGCCTGCCAGGAGGCCCTGAGCCCTCTGCAGAGAAAGCCCCAGCAAAAAGAAACCCCCCGCATCTCTGTAATGAAAACGCCATTCCCAATATGTCCTTGTGCTGTAGGGGAGTGGCTGCAAGATAGTCACGTACTCAAAGTCAGCTTTGATAGCTGGGCTCAGCCTTAAGAACAAGGGAAGCCAGTATCCTTTGCACCGTGCAGATTGTTCAGTGCCCCTCTCTGGGAACAAAAGCAGGGGGAGAAACCTCTCCAAAGCTGATTTCCCAGTCTGCCCCAAAGAGCAGCTGTCCTTCTGACAAGTGCCGTTCTGGGTCTTACATCAGTTGGTTAATGCCGCTTAGAAAGATTGTTCAGAACTGGAGGTTGAGAAATTATTTTGTCTAGACAGATAAGGCATGCCCTATTCCTTTGGATTGTACAGCCTAGAAGGAAGCTCAAATGAGGGTGGAGTAGACTTAAATGGGTCATTTTGTGCATTGCTGTTCATTGTATGTTATCTCACTGAACAGGCAGTATTCCTGTGATACTCATTGAATAGTTCTGTAGATAAAAATCCCCCTATCGCAGCTACTTCTTATCCCCTTTCTGTCCTTTGTTCTCAGTTCCTGCAGAGACAACCTACCACAGCCTGGAGGACGGAGTTGTGGAGTACTGCACAACAGAAGCACCCACCACAGTCACCGCCGAAGCACCCTTGGAGATGATGGCACATCAACACGAAGTGTCTGCGAAACCGCAGGAGCTGAAAAGTCGAATCGCTCTGAACTCAGCCAAGCTCTTGCAGGAGCAGCGAGTGACCAACTTGCATGTGAAGGAGATTGCCCAGCACCTGGAGCAGCAGAATGACTTGCTTCAGATGATTCGTCGCTCTCAGGAGGTGCAGGCATGCGCCCAGGAGCGACAGGCACAAGCCATGGAAGGAACACAGGCGGCACTGAGTGCCCTCATCCAGGTCCTCCGCCCCATGATTAAGGACTTCCGTCGATTTTTGCAGAGCAATACACCCAGTCCGTCGGTCACCACTGACCCCAGCCAGACGGGGCAGCAAGATGGCATGATCCAGTGAAAGAAACAGCGATGGGATGTCTTTCTTGGAAAAAACCTGCCCGTGCTGCCAGCAGACACAGGGAGTGAGGGGTGCTAGCTCTTGTCAATATGAGATGGCTCATCTTGGAGCCTTGCTGAGCCTAACCAGCTTTCTTTCTCTGCTAATCTTGAAATAATCTGCCTTTTCAGACTCATACAGAGCCGTAGCAGGATGTGTAATAAACCAGGAACTTAATATTGGTTGCTTTAGTTCCTCAAAGAATAGATTTATTAAAAAAACAGTTATTTTTTTATTTCTGTTTGGAAAAACTCTACTAAGTATGACACCTCTCTTTCTCTTCTCCCCCCCTCCCCCCAAGATCTCTCAAGCCTTTAACTGACTTCTAACATGGAGAGTCTTGCTGCGATATCACAGTACTGCAGCTGCCAGGGTACAGTCATCATAAACTGTAGCGCACGGTAGTGAATGCATTGACTGGAAACGTGGTACGAGATGTGGTACAACCTTCTCTCTGCACCGAGAATTATGGATACTGCTCTTGGAGCATGACATCCAGCCCATGAAGTCCAGCACCAAGCCTACATGCAGTTTAAATCCCACCCACATCCCCTGAGGATATAAATGGGATTAAAATAGTGCATCCACCTCATATTCTACCTGTGTGCGGTCATGATATTTCGCTCTAAACTTGGCAGATGTGATGAAAATTTCATGTCTTGGTTACCAGATACTGTCCTGGCATACGTATCGGAAGCAATGTATTCCCTGTCTCAGCATAGTTAATCCACAAGGGCCTGGATGAGTTTCGCTCAGGTGGGTGTAACAGGTGATACTGCATCTCCATCTCATCTGCATAGTTTGTCACCTCCATAGTTACTTGATCTGTCAAAGTGGACCTGGCCTGCAGATTTTCAGCCACACAGTAATTCCCAACGTTTAGGAGTTTGTCAGCCACTGATTTGAGTGAATTTTGGAGCATTAGTTGGTTCTGCTGGTGGTGGTGGTATTTGTGCTGTATGTATTAGGAGCTGGAAGCGAGTAGAGCCATTCTCTGGCTTTGAATGGCATTCTGAGAAATGGGTCTGAGGTTCACCTCGCTGTTTTCTTACCATTATACAGGGTAAAACAACGTTTGCAGACACTTTTATGGGAGGTGTTCAGGGTGTGGGGCTTGGTCCTCAATGAGAAAGCTTAATTTCACAGGACGGTGAACGATTCTCACAGGCTTGCAGTAATTTCATAAACTTTTAGATTAAAAGCTCCACTTGTACATGCATGGAAGCAAACTTAGAAAAAGAAGGAAGGATAACTCTTCTTCTCCCTGTACCTTGCGAAGTGTGTCATGTTTAACGGGCTTTTTGCTTGCCAGATGTTACTTTTGAAATGGAACTTTTTCAGAGCTGGTATTTGCTTGCTGTTAAGTCTCCTTTAGGGCTGAGACGTGGTGAGCAACAACTGACGAGGGAGTGAATTTGCACAATCAAACCTTTACACAGCCTTTTGCAGGGGGGTTGCTGATGGGGGACCCTGCTAGAGCAGTAGGTGAAGAGGCGACCGCTGCCTGTCTCTAGCCTTTACTCCTCTCCTCCCGTCTGCAAGTCTGACGGGGGAGAAAAGGACGGCGCAGTGAGAAGGGCTTGGCCCCTGGAGGACTCCCGACCCTTCGGCACTGACACCTCTGTGCTGAGTCAGGGCGGCGGCAGCTGCGTCTTCCCGCCTCGTCCGGCATCTCACCACATGAGTAACACTCGCCTGACTCTTCCTCTCGGACTTCGGGGAATCAAATCAATTGCTCAATTTAAATTTATTTTTAAAGTGAAAACTATATGTCATATGTGTTGGTTTACCTCACTTGTGTAATGATCTCTCCTTTACAAATATGAATTTTAATAAAAAATACATTTTTGGTAAACAGGCTGTTTCAGTTTATTGGCAGGCTCCAGGGCAAAAATGAGTTCATGGCAACAAGTTTGCAATGCAGAATCCTTGCTGAGAAAGGGCCAAAGAAAGCTGTCAACAGCCATGTGTCACCGTAGCTTTTTCTCTTGTTCCTTGTGTAATGATCTCTCCTTTACAAATATGAATTTTAATAAAAAATACATTTTTGGTAAACAGGCTGTTTCAGTTTATTGGCAGGCTCCAGGGCAAAAATGAGTTCATGGCAACAAGTTTGCAATGCAGAATCCTTGCTGAGAAAGGGCCAAAGAAAGCTGTCAACAGCCATGTGTCACCGTAGCTTTTTCTCTTGTTCATTAACTTTGTGGCCTTGTATTTACATAATCATGGTCTTTTTTCCCCCCCCCCCCCAAATAACAGCTTTTACAGCCTTACCTTGGAGCAGTACTTATTGTGTATGACAGATTACCAAAGTACATGAATCTCCCAGCTGCTCAGATGATGCCACAATGGCCTAAAATGATGGATGAAGCACCAGCCTTTGGCTTTAAATTGTAGTGTGTATTTTTTCAGTGACTAAGCACTTCAGGTGTGTTATTGTTTCACAGGAGTAAATGTGTTGCCCTTGGAACCACCCATTTTTCTTGTCTTTTCAGGGTAAATATAGAGCTTCGTCAAGCCAGCAGCATATGGTTTTTTTTCCCCCCCCCCCCAAATAACAGCTTTTACAGCCTTACCTTGGAGCAGTACTTATTGTGTATGACAGATTACCAAAGTACATGAATCTCCCAGCTGCTCAGATGATGCCACAATGGCCTAAAATGATGGATGAAGCACCAGCCTTTGGCTTTAAATTGTAGTGTGTATTTTTTCAGTGACTAAGCACTTCAGGTGTGTTATTGTTTCACAGGAGTAAATGTGTTGCCCTTGGAACCACCCATTTTTCTTGTCTTTTCAGGGTAAATATAGAGCTTCGTCAAGCCAGCAGCATTCAGGTACAAGTTCCACGTGCACATTTTTGTCTCATTAAAAAGATGTAGCAACATTTTAAATACGGGGTGAGCACTGTGATGAGGGACTTGGTTGTTGCTCATGACGAGGTCATCAGACTTGGGGAGGGAGAGAGAAAAGTGTCCCTTAAAGTCAAAACCAAGAGAAAGAGGTAAACAGGACATTTACAGGGCAAACATACAGGCAGCTGACGCAACTGCACAGGGAACTGGTGCCCACACAGAACAAAAGCTAAGGAGTAACAGCTGTAGATGTTAATTTGTGCTTTTTGTACCTAGAGATTTGTATTCAGCATCCAGAGCAGGGAAGAGCTTGTGCAGGGGTGGTCTGCCACAGGGGACCTCAGCGGTGAGACAGAGCAGCCAGGCAGTGAGCAGCCTCCTTTGTACCTGCCGAAGGAAGAGAAGTTTTGTGGGGGACTCTTGGTGGGTCAGGAGATGAACTTTGTGGTGATCAAGATGCAGCAGCCAAGCTGCGTGCAGCACCGCCCGCTGCCTCAGGAGCAAACCCCTGGTTGTGGTGTGTGCAGCTCAGGCACAGCTTTCCAGGAGATGGCACTGCGCAACGGGGCAAGGCACGGGGATGCTGAGCTGCAGCAGGATACTGAGCACTGCAGGGCCCTGGCAGGATGGGCCCAGAAACAGCCCGTGTCGTCCAGACCTTTTGTGATCCCACTTGCTCCTCTCACTGATGGATCTTTTCAAGACTGAGAGCCTGAAGAGGAAGAAATTCAATGGGCAGAGCTCAGCGGTGAGGAACACCAGTACCCCTAGTAAAGTCAGGATGCCTGGGAATACAAACTGGGTCCCTCTGCTTCCCGCAAACACGGGCAGAGGACACAGAGATGTCGGGAGCTCACAGCTCTCTTTGGGGTGAGTCCACTGCAGAACCAAACGGGCAGGCACAAAATAAAAGAACACGTGATTTTTTTAATTGTAAGCAAAGGGACAGGTTTTAAGATTTTTAGAAGACATAAATACATCAGTATCCCTCAAATACAGCGCACTGCCATAGCTACAGCACAGTTCTAGGAGCAGATCCCCGCTGAGGGACAGAATGATGTCACCTGCATACTCACCCAAACTGCCTTTACTTCCTCCAGCATGTTTTTAAAGTTTGTCAAGCCTGTTTTGGCAAAGCACTCTTCTGGGTTTTTGGTATTTTTTTTCCTGTTGCCATCTGAGAGGTTGTTGCCAGCAGGTACTGTCAGCACAAGTGTGGTCTGTTAAGTATGAAAATTGAAGCATTTAAGATTCTTTTTCTCTCTTGAAAGCATCTGACAGGAAGCTTCCCACAAAGGATCGGCACAGCTTCCAGGCTGCGTTTTGCGAGCAGGAATAAAGCTGACATCGCCTGCAACCTGGGCTCATGAGCCCTTGGGTTCCAGCCCTGCAATGTGATTAACCCCAGGCAGAAGTCCAGCCCCAGCAGGGATGGTTTCTGTTACCTCTGCCGCCTGGGATCCCAAATTAGAGGTTGCCCTGTCAGGTGAGAACCACAGACTTACAGTTGCTTCTGCTGCGTTTGGGGTACCAGCGGCATTTGTGGGGCTGCAGCCAGAAGCACAGAAGCAGTGGGAGAGCCCACGGCCAGTAAGTGTCTCGTCTGGGAGAGCGCTGAAGGTGACACCTGGGATAGAGACACAGGATAACACTTAATAAACACAACAAGCCTTGAGGCAAAGCAGGTTCCAGTTTGCAGATTTTGGAAGGGGCAAACCAGCTGCTGTTCCACCAACAGGCCTCCCGGAAGGAGAGTCCTGCCGCACATTCCACGGACACGCTGCAGCAGATAGGGAAACCAGTAAACAAAAAAAAGCCAGGCAGCTGGATTTTCAAGTCTGGCCACATGACTGGGGAAAGGAATCCACCGACTCCAGATTCCTGTGTTCCCTTTGTCTATGTGGATAACAGGATCCCCCATCCTGGCAGGCCAGAAACCCACTGTGCAGATGTGTCCTTTGCACGTCCAACAGGAAACCCAGCCTGGCACAGAAGGTGAAACAGTTCTGGCCTTTATGGCAATGAGTTCAGTTAAATATGGGACTAGTGAAAAACACAAGCAGATCAAAGTAGAGCTCGCAACCTGTTATTAAATTAAACTGAGAAGGCGCAAGCTTGGAATAACTCCACACCATAGGATAATCCCAGGTAGTGGGGATGGATACCCATGCCCCTCACAGGGTTTCCAGCGGCCTGCATGCTACAGATGGGGCTTGCACCATTGTGGTGTCCTGCCCCGGTGGCCCCTGGCCCCTGCCCCATTTTTGGAGCTCCCTGGCCTGGGTCTGCCCCCCAGCAGCATCTCAAAGCGGGTGCGTTGCAGGTGCCTGGCTACCAGCAGCGTGAAGAACACATTTCTAGCATAAAGCGTCATGTGATAATCTTTTCTTTTTGGATGACGAGGCTGAAAGCTCATTAAAGCTATTATAACAGCAGTTACAGGTGTAACAGAGGAGAGCCTTTATGGTGTTTATGCTGTTGCAGCAACGTATATAATTTAGTTTTCAAACTTTAATCAGTTGGCTGCTAGGACAAATGGATTAGCGTAATGATGTTTTCCAGAGGAAGACGCTGATGATGTAGTTTACAGGGCTTGGATGATTTGCTCGTGTACCTGGGATTCCCATGGGATAAGAGATAGAATTTGATGGCTCACCAAACGCATTACAGAATCCATCTCGCTTCACCTCACTGAGTTGTGTCCCTTCTGTATTCATCTTGCCTTGTTTCTTCCCTGTTGCTTTATCTCAGTCTTCAAGGTGGGAGGGAGGAGGCAAGAAAAGCCACCTCCGCTCCTGCTCACTGGCAGTCCGGGGGTGAGCAGACCGTAGAGTTCCCAGCCCCTGACCAGTGAGACACGCCTCTGGTGATAGCAGAGGTGAGGCCCAGACTTAACTGCAGAGCCCAAGCTGATAAATTATCCCAGACTGATAAGACGATGCCCTGAGCCAGCAAAAGTTGAGGAAGTGGTGGCGGCAATGGGGAGCGGCATCAGGAAGGGCTTAGGTCAGGGAGAGCATGGGGCAGGGACATGGCTGCAGTTCACAGAGTAGAGATGAGGTGGGCACGGCAGGGCCGAGGTTGTAGGAGAGAAATCAATAGCGTTTGAGTCTGGGGTAAGCAGAATTAATAAATATCCGAGTGCCCTGTTCATGCACATGGCCCCTTAGTGAATGAATTGGAGCTGGATCGGAAAAATAACATAAAGTCAGCGGGATGGTGGATGAGCGGAGATACTCTGTGCTCACGTTCCCTCTGTGGTGCCTGCGTGGGGCTCAGACTCACCCACACTGATGCCTCTCCCAGCAGGGCACACGTTTGGAGGAGCACTGTCCCTTTAAAAAATGTCAATTTGTCCAGAAACAATTATGCAGCACAAACACAGAAAAATCAACAGGGTGAATTTCAAACTAATAAAGATTTAATCTCCAAGTCATGAGACTGCGTTTGTTAGGAAAATATACATACCCCTGAGAATTCAGCTACGGTTGCTATATTACACACTGTTCAGCAGCTCACTGGGCATTTTTCCAAATCCGTTTATTTTTAACATCAGTCACATTATTCAATTAATTATAAAAACACTGAGGTTTTCAAGAGATCTTTCTGATAAAACTGTAGAGTAAATATGCGTGAGAACAGAAAGGATTAAAATCTCTGTAAACCTTAGTATTTGGGGCCGTTGCTATAAACAAGAGAAGTCCTCTGAGGAGGTTATTTATCAGAGTGAATCATACCAGGTAACACATGGCCTCCTGCCACACCACAAACGGGGAGATCGTTTGTCCTTTACCCAGTGATGGAAGCGAAAGACGGACACCTCTATCAGCGGTACTCTCAGGGAATGGGAAGTGTGAGGGACTGGGCTGGATTCTTCAGACGCTTCCAGCATTCGAGCCCCCCAGCTTGGCAAATATTAAATATTTAGCAGGCTGAGCTCTTTCCCAATAAACTGAGAAACAGAAAGCAAAAAAACCCCAGCCCATGTCTAGCAATGTCTCAAGGCCTTGAAAACACCAGATATATCCATTGACGGAATGATTCAAGCCCTACCTTTAACAGCAGCCTCCATAAACCCTGCTTTACGGGAAGACCAGTATCTCCTGCGATGGTTTCACTGTACCAGTATGAAATGCTTTCCCAGCCCAAAGTCTGTCTATCTGCTTAACCTGGTAAGCAAGAATCATTTGGCTTAATCCAGCTTTTAACGCACTTTTCCTAGCAGATTTTTTTTTTTTTTGAAGACTCACACTGTGGTAGAATTATTTGGTAGCTCTGATACTGTCTGCATAGATGGCAAAGATTAAAGGCAAGGAGTCTGGGCATCAAAGCCTGGCAAAGAGAGCCTGGACGCCCAGGCTTTCATCCAAGCTTTGCCAGACATGCAAATCAGCCTTGGGAAAAGTCCCTCCTGTGTAACAGAGACTCTTAGACACATCCCTAACTTTAAAAAATAGGCAAATCACGTTGATGATTGCAGACTCCTTCAGGATGAGGAGAGACATTTTGTTCTGCTTGCCCTTAAACGATGGAATCCTGCCTAACCAGGGATCTCAGCCACAGCACAGGACCTGGCAGCAGCACCTAATAACAGGAGGGAGCCATTTTGATGAAGAGATGTGTTTAACCTATTGCCACATCTCACACGTGGAGGGTGAGACTCCAGCTCCTGGCCCTGCCTTGTGCTGCCCGCAGGGGTGTGGGGTGCCAGGGCCTCCCTCCAGCTCCAGGAGAGCCAGCCCGGATGCTGCTGGTCAGCCTGACCCACGGCCCGCTGTGTGGTACCCAGAGGCACGGAGTTGAGGACAGGGTGGCCACACCGCTGCCTTGGTGAGGCAGCCCTGCTTGAAGAGCAGCGCGCCAGCAGCGCACGGGCCGTACCCGTTGGAGGAGATGTCACCGGGAGCTACTTGGGCAGGGAAGGTACTGGGACAAGGACAGGGTGAGGAATCCTGGCTGTCAAGGCGCAGCGCTGAAGAGGGCGCAGAGAAACCACGTCTGCCAGAGCCGCCTCTGCCATCCCCTCAGCCCGGGCAGGCACACCTCCACTGCAGGCTCCAGGCACCGCGGC